GTTGTTGCTGTGGCAGTAGGAGTAGCCTTAGCAGTAGCTGTAGCCACTGGAGTCACTTATTTTTTACACCCATCAGGTTCAACGAAGCCAGGAGCAAAACATGGAAACCCATGTATGAAGCTGTTGTGGTACACTGTGCTTTGCCCATCGTCTTCATTCCATACTTTCACCAAGGTGTCTCGAAAGTGGAAAGTTTATTCCTAAACGGGGGGAGGAATACTTTTGAACAACATCTTCTGCAGGAGCTGGCAGGAGTTGGTAAAGACTTCTGTTGAAGTGGACCCAACGCAGAAACTGTCATCATCTAGATTCACCCCATGCACCCATCGGTATGAAGAGCATATATTATATATATATATATATAGACATCGCGAAAAAGGCATAGAATTCATTAGTATTCAATTGAGTTCTACTTTTGTCTCCCATGCTTGCAAGTTGATCTACTTAGAATCAGTTGCCCTTCTTCTGCCACACTGTGAAAATCCAAAGTATCCACGCAAAGATGTGCCCCACAAAACCCCAGAGTGGTTTCAAGGGGAAGCTCACCCCACAACCAGACACGCAACTGGCTGCCTGGAAGTGCTCAAGCTTTCCTGGGTTTCACCATCCTCATCTGCGCTTTCTTGGCTTTCACCATCCTCATCCGTGCACCCACATTTTAAGCTTGGTCCATTGACCATCCGTCTACACAAAAAAGTTGAGCAGCACACAGCCTCTCAGATACACTGTGGAGACCCATCTCTGGCAAAAAAACTCCGGGAATTTGGAAGGGGATGGACATGATAGTGCTTCCGTTTCGAATGCATTGCATGCATTATGCTATCCAGCTCTTGATACATAAATGTCTCAAATAGAGAGATGGGAAATTATGATACCATTAAGTACATGCTCCAAGCTCTCGGCATCTGTAAGCGCATTCTCCTCAGACTCCTCAAACAAAATGTCACCAATGAGGTGTCCAACATGCGTGGGTCAAAAAAGGAGCGGGTAGTGCCTTGGGAACATGAAGCCACACATTTTCGGCCACATGACAAGAACATATCTGCATCCTCCAACTCGAAGTGCAAACCGCAGAATTACGCTGCTGAAGTCCGTTCATGTCTTTATCCACCAAGCGCGCCACGTACTCCAGATCCAGCTCACCAATAAACTCAGCCGTCCAGACCACATGGCTGGAGCATATAGGAAAGATGAGAGCAAAAAGCACGTGGATAGGTCGAATCAAACAGTGGAATTCTGACATCATGGTACCAGTTCCATCTAAACTGGTCAGGTTGAAGATCCCTTCAGATTTTGGGTCATGCCGTGAAAGAGGGACGAAATGCACAGATTTTCGGACGCCCCTTACGTTTTTCAACCTGGGTCATGCATCTGCTGATGACTACGCGTCACTACCCAAACTGGTGGCCCAATAGAAGACACTAGATAAACAGCGGATGTGGTCATTTACCTTGCTTTGCCCTGTTTGGTTGAATCCTTGTCAAACTGCACAGGGCCTCCCTCCATTGCTGCCCGAACAAAGCTCGGAATGGCCCCATCGAGCTCCCTGAAGGAGGAATATGCCAAGCAGCTTCGCGGGTCTTCTGATAGGTCTTCCTAGCTGGTATGAAATGGAAGATATTCATGTATATTTTCGAGCAAACCATCTCCTCGCAGGTCATAGAAGCTGAAGAGGAAAAGTTGAACCTACAAAATCCATGTTTATATGAATAGTCATTGGTAGCCTGCGTAACAACGACCATGGAGTCCCTTCTGGTCTACTGGGTGTCGGGTACCGTAGCAAAGCAAACACTTTTGTGATGACTTCCGGACCGAATTGATACTCGTGGATTCGACAAAACGTCGAACACCAAGTGTGCCCTGTCTCGAGGCACAAACATATGCCAAACACAAACCAAGTGTTTACCTTCTTGCATTCCCAAAGTGAAAGCCTGTGAGGGACGGTCAAAATATGTCAAAATGAACTGTTGGTCCAAAGGACATCGGCTTTTTAATGAATATCCATATAGCTTTGATGAGCATGCCCAAACACACCGGTCCTTTTGACCATCCCTCATGTCAGATCTGGCAAGTGTCCTGAGAAAAGCCACTCGTGGTGCAGGGCCCCGAGGGCCTGGCGGGCCTGGCCTGCCTGGTGCCAGGGAGTGTCACAGTTGGTCAGTTGCAAGAAGTGGAGAATATTTCAAAATAGTGGAAATGGGTAACTAGCAGAGCTGCACTTCCTAAAACATATTGTGTTAATGATCCGCTCTGCTCCGTCTGGCTTGACCCAAAGTCGCATTGGATTGCTGGTCACCATTGAAGTGGGTCAACCATTGAAGCACCAGGACGTCATTTGATCTCCAACCATAAATTTGATGTCGTATAAGCTTTGGAAGTTGCGAAGGCTAGTTTGAGCCTCAAAGGACACTGTCTTGAGACTACTGCTCACCTGTGCCTCCTTCGTGCGGGGGAGCCTCAGCCACCTCAGGAACCTGAGCTCATGGAAGTGGGCGATGTAGGTGGGCGGACAGGCGCCCACCGGTCTGGTGGGCCAAGCCGAGAACTGGTGTCCCGGCTTGGCGTCGAATAAATGTGTCGAAAAAACAAGACAGCCTTCCCGTGCTGGAATCAGTCATGATGCCTTCAAGGTGTCCTTCACATCCACAAGTCCAACCGCACTCTTCTCAGGTGCCGCGCTGCTGGGTGGCTTCTAGCTGCCAGGCCCGCTATTCCTGAAGCATTCAGGCATTGGTTTTCAAGTCAGGTAGTTCAAATCAAAAAGACTTCTGAGAATCGACACTGCAGCACAAGGTTCATACAACCAATTTCCCTTGTGGCCACTTGCTGACAAGCATCCGGCAATAGTGGGCAGTTTGCTTGCTCTGGGCACAGCCATCATCCTGCAAACCACTGCATTGCCCATGAATCCAAGTTGTGGATCTCAAGACAAAATTACAACTTTGTGTGGCTCATTGCCTGGTGACCAGCTACAAAAGACCTGTACAATCTTGTATTACAGGCCCTCGAGGGTTGACTGACTGAAACCTCTTTTGGACACATGTGTCCGTGGCAGTTGGTGGAAAGCCTACATAACTATGCATGCACTATGTTTACTCATCCTTACTAAACTCCAATCTACAGAACCATATGAAACTTGTTGTCCTTTTCATACCAACAGCCCCGGTCCTTCAGCGGCACAGTCAATGACCGCCGGTGATGTGGCCGTGGGGGGCCGCCATGCGCGGGAACACCCACCGAGCTCCGGTGAGGGTGCAAAAAGCTGAGCCCAACGGAGGCAAACAGCAGACTGTCTGGAATGCTGCCATGCTGGCCATGCTCATCTTCCGTTTCTGCTATTGTATTGAAACAAGAAAGACATCCTTGAGGTGGATGATGCCTTTATAAGAAATCCCCGGACGGGCAACAATCAAGTGCAACGAATAGAGAGTTTGCAGCAAAGGAACCTCCCTTCTTCGGGCCAGGGAAGGGTATAGAGAGAGAGAGAGATTTTCTCTACCGGCAAACCTCCGCAACAGCCTGGATAAATGTTATTGCCTCACCCATGTAGCTGACATCCTCCCACCCAGCCTGCGTGCTGCAGAGGGGCCACATGGGGCTCAATCCCATCAGCTCCTCCGGGGCTTTGCGCTCCAAACACAGCCTGACCTTAAATCCCATCTTGATTTGTCTACGAGTGGAAACATGTTCACTTTTCTTTTGCCCGTGACTCCAGTCTTTATCCTTTCCTTGACACACCACGGCTAAGTACCTTGTTGTCACACCGACCGAAGAATCCTGCAAGCCCGCAGCGGCCAATACTTCCCGGGTGTTGCTTGGCGGAGCATACTTTAGACGTTGCTGCCAGGGCATAAGGTGAGAGGCCTGGCAAGGTAACTGGGCTGGTTGAGTCACCATTCCCCCCAAATGTTCTACAGTACTGGATTCCCACGCAGCCAAGCGCAATGATAGTGCGATTGTGCGATGTGGCAGTCTGCAGATCTTCCGTATCTATCTTCCATATATTCTGCAGGGTGACAGGTACAGGGTCGATGCCAATGTCCCATTGAAACAAAGTATCTCCCCACTAAATCTGTGTCTTTACAAAAAAGCACCTCATTGAATGAACTTAGAAGACATCACCGGGCCAATCACCAGTACACCGCACAACAACACGCATTCCTCCCAAATGTTGCACAAAACCTTTGTCCCTGCCTGGTCTATTGATGCTCAATGTCATTCCCGACTTTGGTGCTCAACGTTGAAAATTATGCTCACAAGAGCTATCATTTCAAGTTGATAACAATTGGCAATTTCGGTCATAGTTCTCGGGTTCACCCACCCACGTTCATTGTGCTCGCCGATGTTTAAAGGTCAATTTGTCAGCCAAGCCTGAGAAAAAAAAGAAACGCCAATTGTAGAAGGGCTGTAAGATGCGGTTTTACAGACCCAATGCTAATGCAAGTGCAACCTGTTCTTTTCATTTCTTTGTCAAACGAATCACAACAAACAATCAACAATCACCTTCATCATCCAAAAAACCCGTGCGGTTCCCGACGACCTTACATCCCGATGCCTGCGCCGCCCGGAGCGCAAAGCCCACACTCACCACGTCTGGTTGCAGCTGCAAGGCTGGTGCAAGAACTGCCAGCAAATGGACACACCTCGGTTTCTCGAAGTATGATCAAGTAGGGAGGGTTTGCAGCAAAGAATCTACTGGAGCCGTGCACGTGACCCCGAAACCTCACCATGGGCTCTCTTTGACTTCAATCACTTGCCACTCATGACCCTTCGCTCACAAGTCTGGCCAATCGATGCTTCGACTGGTGTGCAACTCTGCCCTTTTTGCCATGCACCAATATATTCAAATATAGTGTCAAAATGTGTCAAATGTTATACAATTTGATCACTGTTGACTGCTTGCTGGATCTGGCTTGAGAGATGTTTCAACGACACAATGGAGACACTGCTTGAGATACGGTAGGCAAACACATTTGAAGAAAATAGAACAATCTCAGTCATCAATCTGGGAATCTGGGGAAATCGCTTCCTGGTGCTTCCCTCAAGTTATCAAGGTTGTCACCACGAGGTCTGTGTTCAGACATGCCAGAAAAAGATGGGAAGCTGCAATCAAAAGAGCTGAGATTTGAACACCTGATCCACCCCATGTCAGCCTCTCCAGCTATGCATGAAGATCCATGAGGATCCGCAGGTGTTGTTCTTGTTCCACAGGGCAACTGGCGTGTTCTTCTGTTCGCCATACCCACTGTCTTCCTTGCAAGATGCTCTTTCCACCGGTGGCTCAAGGCCAGGCTGTGCAGGGTTGAGTTCAGCCCATAAAGGGCCGCCTCTGGTGTCAATGACCTCGATTGAACCAACCATGCCACCGGTGAATCCCTGAACGATTCTGGTGACTTCATGGTTTTGACATCCACTTCCCTTGCTAGTCCATCTCACCGTCTCGGTGGACCAGCACTGAGTAGGGCGATCCCCGCCACGGTCGCACCCTAGTAGCGTCCGATCGCTCCTAAGTAGCGATGCAGCGTCCTTGCTCCTAGTAGTAAGGCCAGGAGCCCCTGCCCTAGAAGCGTCCTTGCTAGTAAGCAAATGGAAAACAAGGAGTCCCGCTGTGGGTTCCGAGTAGGTGGGATCCACCTGTCACCGAAACAAGACGATTCCCAGAGTACCAACCGTGCTCGTGGTTCACGGGATCACGGGATTCAACAACCTCTGAACTTCGAACGACTCAAAAAAGTCTGGTCTGTTTGTTTGTGGTCGGCTGTGACATGCATTGAATGGATGTGTGTTTCATTGCGATTTCCTCGCTGGTGATGTCTTTTGTCCCGTAAACTCAACGCCTCCACATCTCGTTAAACAAAGTGTCTCACATCTTTCACCAAGTCTCAGCGCCAATTCCCAAGCAGAACCCTGCTTACAGGCAGAGATCGCGGCATTACCTAGCAAGGACGGCGATGCGTCTTTCTCCACCTCTATGGGCCGCTTTGACGCGTCCGCACGTCCAGCGGGGCATTTGACCCTCATTCACAAAGTCCTCTCAAGCGACAAATACCTTAGGATTGATCTAAGCTCCCTGGACATTGTTGGAGGGGAGATGTTGTAAGTTCCGGCATGTCCATACCCTCATTCACCCACTGACGAGCACAAAACTAGTAGTTTCCGCGAACCCTCTTGTGCTGTCCAAAGTGCATGCTACGAGGTCAGGGCGCCCCACAGTTGCAAGAAGCCGAAGTGCTCGTTGCCATTCGCTACCCTTTTCCTTGGCATGCTGCAGCAACCATGCAATCGTGGGTCTAAGGATCTGGTATATGCACTTGATGAAATAGGTGTCAATTTACAGTTCGATATTTATTAGGGGCTCCCGGCATCGCTACTAAGAGCAAGGACGCTACTAGGGGCTCCTGGCCTTAGCTACTAGGAGCAAAAAGCTACTGTGAGGTCCAAAAAAGCTGAGGTGAACAGTCCACGACCTTAAGCAAGACCTAGCGCCTTTCGGCGCCAAGTCACTTGATGCGTTCAATGACACTGAAGGACCCAACTGCAATGCCCAAAGTCTTTCAACACTCAACGCAAAACGCCCAGAACAATTCGGAAAGGGACCTCTGATACCCACCTATCAACCGTACATTGTGTATAGACTTCTGCCTTAGTTCGCTTCTTGATCTATTGAGTCTGACTCCAGAAAAGGCAGTCGCTGCTGTTCGTTGAAACCAGCCAAAACGCCAACGCACTGATGGCGGCACTGAGCATCACCAGGTTTGCCTTGGTGATGCACTGAGGAATGCACCCTTGGGTAGCTACCCTGAAAACCTCCCTTGACACTAGTGTTGCGAGTTCCAGTAAAGGTGTCGTTTGTTGTCTCTAGGTTGTCAACGGTGAAGCTGGGTGAAGTGGCCCTGTTCATCTCTTTTGTGGCATGATGCACTAATTGCCCCAAAACGGATTCACGGGCAGTTCTTGTCTTACATTGTCTTACAATGTCTTGCATTTGTACGCCCCACTCCCAGAAGACTATAGACTCTAGGGATGTGTCATAATTATATAATCATAATTTTACCAATCTTACGATCAGCACGGCACACTGCAAAGCATGTGCGATCAGCACGGATGTTGGAGTGAATCAATCAAACACCCTCACGACTTGATGTCCGATGTTCTTGGATCCTCCAGTGTCGTGCATCCTCCAGCAGCTGCAGTGCGTGCTGCCAGCGGCCTCCTGGCTTCAGAGTGGGGAAATTTGAACTGAATTAGGGCTGAATGGATGAAGCCTTCAGAGGCTCGTCTTGTGTCCTAAGGCAGATCAATCCGCTGCCCCGAAGCAGGGCCAGCTCTTCACTCAATTCCCCTAGTTTTGTGAGCAGCTTGACATGCGAAGGACCGCATGGTACTGGTAGGTGGTTCACTTCCAGAGACAAAATGAAGCGATGGCCTCCACTGAAGTTTGCCCTGAGAACTGGATAAATGGGAACGAGTTTCGGAAGTCTGCCCATTGCTTCATGGCTTTGGTCGAAACTCCAGGGTCCCTCCAAATCCAAGGCGAGCGCATGTTTATTCTCATACCTTGAAAGCCGTCCTTCTGCACACTTTTGGTGCTTGGATCGAAAGACTTCACCGATAGCCGCCGCTATGATGAACCACGGTCGTGCCATGATGCACAGGGCCACTGGAATGATGAACCACTGTCGTTCCATGGTGCACTGGACCACCATGATGATGAGCCACCGTCGTGCCATGATGATAGTATCCGTAGGGATGGTACGGAGCAGGATATACTGGATGGTAGGGATGGTACACTGGCGGATGGTAGACCGGATGGTAGACCGGATGGTAGCCAGAACTGTGGTGCACCACCGTAGTGCCATGACCAAAGCCACCGCGGATCCCCGGAGGGTTGTGGTGCACCACTGTGGTGTGGCCAGGTCCATGGTGCCCCGCCACCCAATCGGAGCGGCCGGCTGAACGCTGGAGTAACTCGAGGCGCTCTGGCTGGTGCGAGGGGTCCTCACGCTTCACTGCCACATCAAAGTCCTCAGTGTCGCACACCTGCACCATCTGACGATCGCTCGGGACGTTCAGAAAGCAAAAGACCAGCGAACGTCTCGGCGTGTGAAATGTTCGCCCCAAAAATCATCTCCATAGATTCAAAAGTACAAGATAGTATAAGAAAGAAAAACCCTATCTGCACTAGTCAGGGGATAGCTGCACATTTGGGGGGATTGCGGTGCATATCTCTTTTTCTTCACGTTTGCGGCACCGCCCTGCTTCGTGCCTCGCCCAGCACCGCGGGCAAGAGCAGTGCCCAAGCCATGAGCATGGCGAGCATGGCGAAGGCGGAACAAGGGGGCTGCTGCGGCAAATTGGGTTTCCAGCCACAGCTGCGCGGCAAACATGTTGAACCCGACTTCAAAATCGGAGACTTACACTCCGATGACCAATGAGAACGGCTCGAACAGACCCACTGGAAAGCCAAGGCCCAGCTTAGCACGGCTAAATGGGGAAAAGATTGCACTTTTGAAAGTCTGAAGAAATGCATGGAAATACACTCTCCTGCTGCTTCGGTGGCACTGATGACTGAGGAGTACAGCACCAGGTCCGGCATCACCTGACATTGGACTTGACGACAGCCTTGAAACAGTGAAGATGCGAGCATGGCAGTATCAAAGCAACAGTATCTGCTAGGACGTCAGGGTTTGTTGCATATATCATATGCTTGCAAATTGCAGGCAGTAATCTTGCTGTTCGCTTTGCAATTTTTGAAACACAAGCACAATGCGACCCTGAGCTGACTCTTGTGCAATGGATATAGAACCTGTTGAACTCTCAACAATATTGGCCCATGTCTGTTGGATTGCAAGAGGACCGATAGTGTTGGCAATTGAAAGGTCACCCCACATGCTCAGAGAAGACAACAAGCCCAAGCCTGTTGCCCTTCTGCTTGTCGCAGAAGTTGCAAGGCTTTCTGCCATTGAGCGGCCTTCTCCATGGCTGACACTGCCTGAGAACAACATTCTATAAGTGTCATTGGCCCTCAAAAGTCATTAACCCTCTACAATGCAAGATGAAAGACGATGAATTCTGCAATGAACCAAAGTCTCAAGACTCCAGTATATCTTCCTAGCAAAAAGTGTGCAACGCAATCAATCTTCCAATTTCCACATGTTTCTAGTCCGTTTGCGAATGCCTTGCTCGAAGAGAAGTATATAATTAAAAGTGTTATAAAGAGTCAAACATCATAGAAGAGTGGTTCCTCCACACCAAAGCGATCGTTATAACCCCCTCCATGCTCTCCAGCTGCACAGCTGTATGTGGTCACATTTAGGCATCTCTTCGCCTCTGAAAGTACCGCCTGGGAAGAGCTGCAAGCGATGATCTTCGATGCAACATCGCGATATCACGTCATTTTGGCTCGCTATCGCCCGAAAATCGCACTCCCCAAAACTTCCCGCCTCAGTGGAAAACAATGGAACACATTTTAAACACGTTCTGGTGGTTAAGTGGGTCTTTGAGCAGCAGATTTCTTGTCACCACTGCCCTGGAAGAAACGTCATTTGTCTGTTCCATGTTTTTGCTATGTGGGCCACGCTGGCTGTGTCCGACCGATAGGGGGATAAGGGGGGATAGGGAGCATTGTTTGCAGAAGCTAGGTACGATAAAATTCAAAATTTGACCCAAAAAGGATGAGGTCGCTCGGTGCTTGGTGCCAGATGGGGCCGCTGGAAACATGCAAACTCCATCGATCTGCATCTGTTGTTTTAGTCTTGCAGCCAAGCTTCTAAAGCTTGCCGCCACTCCGTCGCCATACCACAAGCCAGAATGCTCGAACTGCAAGCGACTTGGCTTGAAAGATTTCGCCTGCACCAAGGATTTGCGGCTGTGAAAGTACACACCCTGCCCTGCCGACACATTCCCTCATTCTGAGCACAAATGTACCAGCATAGACCCCAAACAGCTAAGTCGGCAAGAATTGTTGTTGTGGTGGTGGGCGGCTGCAGGTTCAGCCCCTGCCTGAGAAAGCAACGTAAACAGCACGACGGCAGCGGGACAACAGAAAGACCACAAGACGACGACGGGAAGAGTACGACCGGAGATAGGCTGGCAGCCGCGGCCAGTGAACACCTGAAGAAGGACAAGAAGAAGAAGAAGAAGGCACGAAAAGATTGCGACAAGAGGAGAAGAGGAGAACATCCGGACAGGGCTCGCCAGCGCGGCCTGACACTGTGCTTCGCTCTTGTTGGCTGGCGCTTTCCCACGAGGTCCCACAGAAAGCTTGCGCGTGTGCAATTGCTTTCTCGAATTGGACCCTTTGATTGCGCTTGGGGGCGAGGCTTCGCGCACGCACCCTGTCATGGTGTCATGTCTACATGCTGCCATGCTGCCATCTGGACACCAGCAAAAGGACAACAAGGGGACAACAGGAGGACAAGAAGATGACAACAGGAGGACAAGAAGAGGACAACAAGAGGAGAAGAAGAGGAAAAAAAACAAAGGACAAAGAAAGGAGAAGAGGAGGACAAAGTTGGAAGACTGGCTGGCAGCCGCGGCAGAGCTGCTCAGATCACAACAGGAGGACAAGAAGAGGACAAAAGGAGGACAATGGGACGACAAGAAGAAGCCAAGAGGAGGAAAAGAGACAGAAAAAAAAGGACAACAGGAGGACAAGTGGAGGACAAGAAAAGGACAAGAAGAGGTCAAGAGGAAGACAAGAGGAGGACAACAGGAGGACAAGAAGAGGGCAAGAGGAGGACAACAGGGCGACAAGATGAAGACAAGGGGAGGAAAAAATACATAACAAGAGGACAACATAAGGACAAGGTCTGGAGACCAGCTGGCAGCCGCTGCCGAGCTCCAAGAGGACAATGGGGCGACAAGAAGAACACAAGAGGATAATAGAAAAGTAAGCGGACAACAGGAGGACAACGCCCGGACACAGCGTTCACCGGGCATCCTAAGGGGAAGACACCAGTCAGACAATAAGGTCCCGATCGTCAAACGTGAGATGTGCTCTTACTCAACGGCATGAATACTGGGTGGCTTAGTGTTCAGTTGCAAGGACAAACAACAGCTGGACCACCCCGCCTGGTCGCATTGGCCAGGATTGCGCATGCCTGATGTACGGAAAGTATATCACAAGCAAAAAATTGGCGTTCAAAACGAAAAATCGTCGTTCAAGAAATCTCAAGAAATCTCAAGAACCTAGAGCCTCAGGTGGCATAGATGTTGATTTTCGCGGTATCCTCATTTGGGGAAGGAGCGATTTCCTGGTCATGGGCACCCCAAACCCCACTAGTGCACAAGAATCAGCTTGAACAGGTTCACTGGTAAATGGTACCCCTTCATAGAAAAAGAACATGATGGTTACCTACCAGGGTTTTGATCGTCCTGACCTGCTGCCAGCGGTCACGACAAGCGTTGATCGTCACCGCTGTGAGGACAGCATCCACTTGCAGACGCCGTTGCTGCACCTGTTGCAGTGGTTTCGGTGCAGCCAAACGTCTCCACACTCCAGTGAAATGTACGAAGCCGAAGCCGATCACCTTTCAATATAAGACAAAGAACTCTCTTCCCTTAGCCGTGCCTCGCCCAAGAGGGCCACAGCTTGGCGCCAAGCCAACTGCTTGGCCAAGCGGTTTTGGGCGGCGCTCCAGGCAACCAGGTCAGGAACCACAACACCTCCCATTCGTCCCGTCACATCTCCCTGAGGCACCCCCTTTGGGCCTTTGGGCATCTGTATAACGGTCAATGACCCTGAAATGATGATGATATCCAAGTCAATGAAACCAAATGACCCAGGCTTTTGAGACTTGCAGTTTCCACCTCCCCTGAATTTCCTGGCATTTGCCAGATTCCATTGGCCCAGTTGCTGTGCTCCAAGCGATTGAGCAAATGAAGCGCAAAGGTCCAGCCAGCCAGTTTCAGGAGCTGAGTGGCCTTGGTTTCAGGAACTCATGCGCCCAAAAGAACAGGAATTGTCCGAACGCGATGTCTATAGCACCATGTGTAAAAAATATGTGGGGAAGGGAGGCGAACTCCATCGAACACCCCTCCTGCTGTTGCAAATGAAACGTTCCAACTGAAATAGAAACACCATGTGAAGGTGAAAATCAGTGAAAAGGCATTGGCACCAGTGCGGCCGGCAGTCTTCTTTTCGCTTTCGTGCCACATGGCTCCCTGCGAGGATCAACTCCAATCGCCGGGTCGCCTGCGGCAGGTCTTTGGTGACGAAGGATTCCTTCTTTTCTTGAAGAAGCCTGAGCCTGGATGATTTGGTCCTTAGATTTTTGGGGGTAACTGAAATATATCGATACCCTGAAATTGGATCAATCCCGATTGGAAGATAGTGGATGCTCCGATCCGCTCGCCTTCGCGGCTCCCATCCGCGGCCGCCATGGCCATGGCCGCCATGCGAAGCGACAAAGCGTGCGTAAGAGATGGGCGGCGGAGAGCCCGCCAGAACCAAGGCTCGTGGAAGGTACACGGGACTGGATGTGACATGATGCAACTGGAGTGGGACTTGGTGACGGTTCAATCACAAGATGAGGCCGAAAATGTCGTTTTAAAGTGAGACATGGTGAACCATTTCAACCAAATGGGTGGTCACTGCTCCGTTCGCGGCCTCGAATCGCCACAGCTTGCTTTGAGCCACCTTTACGTACACCGTCAGCGGCATTGCTTCCACTACTCTGTATGCTAAGCCGCTGGAGGCACGAACTTGCACCGATTCCAACACGGTTGAAACTTGCCTAATTCCGCCTTGCCACCTTGGCCTGTGCCCCCGCCACCTACAACGTTGGTCTTAGCATAAGTCGATCATGGGTCGAGGAAAGAATCCCCTGCAGGACATTGCACCCAAACGCACGACCGTTCTGCTTCTTTTCCTCATGCAATGCTTCAGCCAGTTGATGCAAGGTGTCCTGATCCGCTGGAATGTGTCGGTGACATCACGTACGGAATACCCTAAGCATCCCTAAGCCTGATGCTGAACTGAGGTATCATCCAGCTAAGCAAACGCCAAAAGCTCACTTCGTTGAACATTCACCGCAAAAAGGAGGGGTCCACATTGGCCCTGATTACTGAGATTCCTGTTCATGGAAGAACATCTTGCAGCTTAGAAGATCCTAACCTCAGAATCTGCGGTCTTTGAGGAGTCCGACCTTTGTCCTCTTTCTCGAAGGAGGCGAACGACAAACACCCAACCGGCCAACCGAGGCGCCAAGGCGCCTCGCAGCTAAAAGGCCGCTCGGTCCACACCAGCCACAAGCGTTGCCTCTCCTCCTCGGCGTGATGCAGGAGACCTTCTGAACGAGCATGGTGGGGTCACTCAAACTACCTCCCTGGTCGATCTGTGAACATGTTCCTGCCCAAAGCGGTCACAGGCTTTGCCTTCTGTACTGTGGCGACTCCCGTCTCCTCACCCGCATCACGCAGCTCTGGTAGGCATTGGAGGAGGGACTCGCGCCTTATTGGCTGAGCCGTTTGATCTACCGATAGCAAGAATTGCAAGAATAGCTTCTTTTGCTGAAGCTGGTTCCAACACACATCTTGGAAAGAGCATCAAATCCAAAGCCTTGTACTCGTGGTGCTCTCGGCTTCCTTGCAATCGAGCATCAGAAATAGTACTTCTGACCACACCTCGTGATGTGAATGATACCTCCACCACCCTATCGAGCATGAGGAGACCAGTGAGCGCTTGTCCATATCTCATGAGTCTGATGTTCAGCTTCTGTCAGCATCATCTAGTCTTACTCTTCCTCACTTGGGCACATTGTGAGTCCAAAAGTCCATGCATCGGCAGTCCCTCAAAAAGCCCTAACACTTCATGAGATCCTCAGTCGCTCCATGAGCCTCCAGTTGCTTCTCCCCGTCGGCCCCGCTCATCTGGGCTTCCCAGCAACGCGATCTCGGAGCCTTGGACAGCAAATTGAGACCTGTCCACCACTCCCCGCAGGTACCAGGGGAGGCCAAAGTTCAACAGAAGGGTGGGGCAGTTGTTCTTCCTCTTCTGAGCCACTCACGAAGTAGCAAAACATCTCGGGTGAGGTCCTGACATTGCGGATCGTCCACATCTGACCATTGACATCCCACCCCCCTGACGTCCACGTCGGTTCATCAGTTTTCCACGTTTCCGGGACACAGTCTTCGACCTATGACGGTGTGGATTTGACTTCGCGCAATGGACCAGGGACAATGGCCATTGCCATCTCTTCCAGGGATCAGAGGAGGTGGTGCAACTAGATGATCCACCAGTTGTTGTGGGTTCCTCGTGTTCCTCTTTGCATTTGACCTTCTCTGACATAGACCGTAGACATTCGATGAAGTATGTGCTTCGACTCAATTAGGCATGGTTAAAGAGTGAGCATATCGCCCGCTCCTTGTGTCCTCCCACCACCTTGATGACATCACAGGCTTCTGCCTACCGCTGGCGAGACAAGTCCCAAAAAACCTGACGTGAGCAGTCTTCTCTTTCATTTCTTCTTGCTCCTAGTAGTATGGCCAGGAGCCCCTAGTAGCGTCCATTTGGTAAGTTTGTCCCCACATGTTGAGACCAATTTTAAATCCAACATCTGAGCATCCCTCGATTTCGTCTGATCCATCCCTGCTTGACCAGATCCTGTAGTCCTGATGGTTTTGCTTGCCTCGTGGCAAAATCATGAAACAGAATGCTTGGGGACATCGGTTTTTAAGGAATGCCAAGGCATGCCGCATGCCAAGATAGATTGCGCCAGTTAGTCTTTTGCAGATCCATCCCCAACAGGTCGCACCGCTCGAAAAGTAGCAGCACAAAGAAACCGCCGTTGCACCGTTCACGTGTGTCACATCGCCTCAACGAGTTCCTTCATGGAATCTGCCAGGCTGGACATCTCGGCCTGGCAATCCAAGACCAAAAGCTGCAGACCTCCACCTGGCAGTAGCGTCCTTGCATGCAAAAACCTTGGAAAACCTGAAAACCCTTATATATTTGCATGATCTGAGTGGTCACGCAAATTCTGAGACCTTCCAATCTCGACTCTTTCGCGAACATGATCTGAGCACCCTTCCAGAAATGGTCTGCGGGAACCGGTATGTTTGCTTTCGGTCATTCAGGGACTCATGGAGGCCTGTCATGGCTGCTGCCAAGTGGTTCAAGCCCGGAACCCCAGCTGCATCAAGCCTGCATCTTTGTCAGGTCTTGGAACGCAGCATCATGAGTCCTGCAGCAAAGTTTTTTTCCCTTGGTCCTTTTGGGAGAGGGGATGCTGGGGGGCATGGTCGGATCAAAGAATTTCAGCTAGGATGCTAGATTTGGCGCCATGGAAGTCATTGAACATCCAGTGGTTGACCCCCTCAACTGTTGGTTGAACCGTTAAAGACATCTGAACCTTCAGAAGAATGGACCAATCTTCTGTCTCTCAAAAGTGTTCAGGAGCAGCTTGGTGTTTTGTCAGTATTAAAAGGTAGCACTGCGCTTGATGCCCGAGATTCTCAGATGACGCCTCAGCAGCTTTGTGCGGGACAAGGAGAGCGCCTGCAAGAGGAGTGTTGGCGGAGGACTGCGAAAGCACAACAATAGTACAAAGTTAATTGTTAAAGTTTACAAGGGTGTTGGCTCATTAAACAGCAACTTTGCAAGGGTCATTGCGAGTCTGCGACACCTTGAGCCGTGGGCGCTTAGCTTAGCAAACTTGTCTACAGTAACGTGGCACTGAATCATACTTTAACAGTGTCTCCCAAGAGCAATTCTGATGAGAACCCGTTTCTGCCAAGTCGTCACGTCACTCGAGTTCCAATGCTGCTGGATGGCCATGACACTACACCACTAGTGATTCGGTCAATGCAAATGACCAGGTTGGACCGCCTTTGGTAGCCACTTACTCACACAAAGGATTCTGCAAACTCCTCTCAAAAAGCCAGGCCACCCAATTCAAGCCTCCGTGTTGAGACCCGCAGTCCCCAACCTGCAGTTAAGGCTAGACTAGCCTGGCTACGACTATTTGGGCGTGGAATGGACTGGTAGAGGTGGAATCTGGGGGATCAACCGCGGTCCACCTTCGCCTCAAAAATCTTCTTTACAGAGACCAAGCAAGAGAACAACATCAGGTCGCCAAATAAATAGGTGTGCCGGACCCCACGGCAGCCATAGTTTCAGTGGGCCATAGCAGGCCATAGCTGTCTATCGGGTTCCTCTCGCCCTCTCCAAGGTTTCGGCAAACCCACATGCTCATCAGAGAGGTAGTCCAAACGCCTCATTGATTGGTGCAAAGCAAAGCAATCAAGGAAGGATCCCTGCAGGCTAAAGAAACTGAAAACGATCCAAACTCTGCATCTCTGACATTCGGCCATAAGGAGTGGACGTCATGCTATCCAGCACTTGCTTCAATGCATTCGCGGATAGCTTCTCGGCCGCCTCCCAAAGGGGTTCTTTGCAATAATCAAAAAAACTGGAGATCGCCAAGGATTGGCTCGTAGAAGGTGGACTAGCAAATCTTGCGGTCCTTTGTCGAGATTGGAAAGTCACAGTGACCTTTCTGGAAGGAAACCCCCATGCGTTCTTACACTCGGGTCTTAACCGCTGTGTTCTTTTTTTCACGGCGTTCGTCTAGTTTCGGAAGGACCGTTTCCCAGGAAGTCACCGGTTCAAGCGGTCCATGTAGCATCTAGACATGTTTAGTGCATGTTGCTTTTCATAGGAGCATTCTTCTTTCGAGCACCGTGTTGAATGCACTCTAAAAGAAGAATTGCAAGGTTGTTGTAAGCTTGTCAACTGGATACGAGCTCGCTGAGCTTTGCTAAGCTTTTGCAAGCTAAACCTCACCGAGCCTCCCATTGGCGCAGAAGCCTCCACAGCTGCTGCCTCTGGATCCCAGCGTAGATGATGCTAAAAATGTTCACCCACGGCCAGGGTCAGAATTGGACGAATTACTGTATGTACATGTAAATTCGCCATCCAATTGTGCTCAAGTGTGCTGAGCTTGATCATGGCGTTCGTTTAAACCGGGATGTGGCTGACCTGCGAGGGTCCATGGCTCGAAGCTCGCACACGTCCCACGTGGATGGTCTGATTGTCTGATGGTCCTTCCTCCAGCTGAGAAATCGTCTCAAAGGATCACGTTGCTCTTCCTTGCTTCGGTGTTTTTCTCTAAGAAAATGGCCCCCCTGACTGAAAGCTTGGATCAGGAGGTGAGGAATGTCTCTATATATACTGTATTCTTCTCTGGATGCAGCTGACGAAGGCCATTTGGATTCGCTCCAGGTAATGATGCCTGTCAAGATTGAACTTCCTTTCGAGGCATTTCCCTGAACGAATGAAACTTTGACTTTGATTGTCAAAGGATGGCAACTGGAGATAAAGAGAAAAGACGGCGTATGAACAAAAGTCGTGAGTTGCAAAATGGCTCTGGTTCCACAACGGCGCCCCTCTTCATACCGAGTTGATGAAACTGTTGCAAAGCTCTTCCAAAACAACATGCTGCTGCCTGAGAGTAGAATCATGTCTGTGCAGCTGCAAGGATCAAACTTGTAGAAATCCGACTAATCTTGGGAGTCGAGTCTTCCTATTCAGATGCTCTTGAGGGCGCGCAGCGCGCACACTCGCGCTACTACGAATTACAGTGGTATCATCCGTGTTGGACAGGTGCTGGAACAATAAGAAAATATGGGAGATCGAGTCATGCAGGTTGTTGTCAATTCAACGGAGCGGTAGGGACTGTGCCATGCTATGCCCATTTGCAAAGCAATCTTTTGGAATTGAAGCAACTCAGGTGAAACCTGTGCTTTTTGATGCAGATGTCTCAAACTTGGAAGTCTGGAAGGGGTTGATAAGTTGATAAGGATGAATTGTGCACCGGTACTGCCTTGTCTGCACCAATCAGCTGCCGGTCGTGGCTTTGAGACATCCAAGGCGCTATGAACACTAACAAATCTACGCGCGCAATGCCAGCATGCTCATGCTGGTCATGCCGGAAGTTCGGTGAGGAGTTCAAAGTCCTCTTCACTCACCTAAGCGTCACTGAAAGGCGGGTCCGAGTGGAACCCCTTGTGGAAAGGGACAGTGTCTCAATGTTGGTATTGACAGCCTCAAGTTCTAAAGGAAGGTATGATATTCACGGTATCGTACAGTACTAGCCTACTAATTAGCCCTTTGAAAAAAGAAAAATAATAAAACATAATAGGAGTCAGAAGTATTTCTTGTCAGAAGTCAAATCATCTCGCCCTCATCAAGAGGTACAATCATTCCAGTCTCACAAATACTACCTCCAAGTGACAAAGGACTTCATAAATCCTTAGTCATCAGAACCTAGTATATTACTAGGAGCAAAGGGCATCGCTACGAGGAGATTTAATGCTGTTTTTGTTGGAGATTTCTAATTCGTCTGTTCTTCACATCGCCCATCTGCGATGGATCCGGTCGGCGGCCTCAAAGTCCTTCAGGATGCGCGCGGCGGTGGGGGGAAGCCGTCACTCTCAACAGGTAACCATCGCTGGTGTGTTCCTGGCAGAACACCAAATGGTTTCGGTGGATCGGCTTACGAGATTGCAGTGTTTGACCATGTGGTGTTTGCTTGACGTCTGGCCTGGCTGTTTGGCACATTGATTGAGGCCTCTTTTGATTCACCGACCAACTAATCAGGTGCCTATCCAACTGACCATGCGCGCCGGAAACAAACGGCACAGGGAAACACCTCGGTGTTGATCTTCACCTGCTGATCGCCACTCTTCCTAACGAAGATTTGGGTCTGGACCCCGGACACACACATGTGTGTTTCCCCAAGCACAGCTCAAGCTGTCTCTAAGTAAAGCTCAAGCTGTCTGATCTCATGCGTTGTTTCGCCGTCTCAAGTGTTTTTTCACAGCATCTTCCCGCTGCGGTGTGCTGTGTGATCCCCTCTCAGGGCGCCGTTTGCTGGATTCTTCTCTACTCTTCAGCTGTTCAATTCGATGCGTATCGTCTTCCCACTCATGCTCTCAGCACAGATTCATTTGATGCCAAGTTTCATCTGAGCATAGATGGAGGAATCGGTGTATGGAATCTTGGCTCGGCGAAACGAATGGATGGGTGACATGCTTCATAGCACGTCTTATGGGTCTTATACTCCCATGAGTGAAGTAGGGCAACAAAAGCATGGAGATCATCCTTTTGATTGATTCCGTCAGAAACGGCTTCAGAAAAAGAATAAAGAACTGAAAGAGCAACATCTCAGTTTTGGGGACAATAAAGAACTGATAGGAGGAAACCAAAGATGGAATGGTTGAGTTGACTCCTGGACACTGAGACGTTGTAAAGATTGTAGAGTAGTCAGGGTCCTAAAATGAGTCTGCCATTTGCCGTCCTCGTAACATACGAGCCTCTTGGGACTTCAAACACCAAAATACTAGGAACAAGAAGCGACTAGTAACAAAGGGCATCGCTACTAGGAGCAAGGACGCTACTCGGGGCTCCTGGCCTTACTACTAGGAACAAGCAGCTACTAGGAACAAGAAGCCACTAGTATATCTGTCCATTTTCAGCACCACATGGCCCACAAAGGTCGTTCGGCAGTGGTTCCAGCGCTGAGGTGCCAGGAGCCGCAGTTGTGCAGCACCATAGTCGGTGTGTTTGATGAGGGTGTCTTCAATAGCCTAGAGTCCGACAAAGGCGGTGGTGGCCAGCAGTGTGCGGTCAAGCAGCTAAGAGACGAGAAAAAGAACACCTTGTGTTCGATGTTGTTTACTTTTGATTTGAGCAAACGAGGGCTTCTGGAACATTGATGGGACTTCTCAAAATCCAGGAGGTATCAAAACGTGTCCATCCACTCAAAAAGAAGGGTGCATCTGGTCTCGCTTCAACCTAACCCAGCATGGGGGAAACCAAGCTATTTCCAGCTTTTAAAGACGTGTCCAGGTCCAGATATCCCATTTGAATCCATTTGATGTGGTGTGTGACAAATGTTTACATCTTGCCAGTAAAAAGCCAACGACTAGGTCCCCACTCAACATCCTCCAACGACTCCCCCATGCTGCCATGATCTGCCTCCGCCAAGGCATGGAAGCCCGTACCCTTTAAGGCAGAGATCTGGCGAGGCTGGCCGTTCTTCGGCCCCACCAGCCATCAGCCGAGGCCAAGTGGACATCACCCAAATGGACTCTGATCTAATGACATGAACTAGAACAATGATCTAAGTTGACCAACCAAGCAGCTACAATACCAACCAACTGAAGCAGGAACTGCTACGTCGTAGCTTCCTGGCTGGTCATACAGTTGTTGACGGGGTGCGAATACAAGGATGGCACGGGTGCGTCGCCCTGAACATTATCTTGGGCGAGAGATTTACTTACAGTATCTTTGAAACACGTCGCATTCTATCAATCCTGGCATCCTTCAGAAATGCCTAATGTGCGCCACCAATTTGCAAGGCTTGATCTCTCTCATGCAGCCTTTGCCCTGCTTTTTGCATGACGGCTCTTTTTGCCTTCGACGTGCGATCACACACCAGGATCCTACCAACATGCTTCCGGTTGCTGAACAAAATTGAATGAACAGGAGGTGAGCAATTGAGCTCATCTTGAGCATTGAGGATGGTTCAACTCCCATCAATCAAACCAACCCTCTCTCACCCTGCCATCTGCCTGGACATGCCCCACGATACCGGGATGTGGATAGCTCAGGCCTCACATTGGGTTGAAGTGGACAAGGACAAAAGGCTTGTTGGGAAGCAGCCGCCATAGCGTGCTTGCTTCTCGCGCCGTGCACATTTTCTTGGAAATCTGACTGCAAATCGTATTCTTTATTTGGTCTGCTGATGCGCCATACAAACACACTGTTGCTCTATCCGACTCTATATCCATTGAACACTGGCCAACAGCATCAAGAACTGGATGGTGTTCATGCTTCACGGGGCCCTTGCTTTGCTCTAGCTCTTCAGCTATTCCTCCTGGCGTGAGTGAGTGGCTTGGTTTGACACCTCTTGGCAGAAAAACTGAGAGGGCCATCCCAACAAATAGGAAAAAGAGACGTAGCACGATCAGAACATCCCATTGGCTTGGAAAGTTAGAGTGGTCATGGTTGGATTTGTAACACACAAGTAACCCAAATTGTGTTTTGAAATACTGACGACGATCTTCCTTCGGTTTAGGATGCTACCATGAACACCCAAATCAATTTTGGAGACTCTTGTTTCCAATGACCATCCCAAACTGAGTCTGAGCAATTGTGCCTAGCAAGCCAAGCCTTTTGCTGGGACCGTTGACATTCACACCTTCTACCCAGTATCACTACTTATTGCCGGGTTAGATCTCCAAGCTGGAAGCAGGATGCTAGCAGAATCAGCCAAGTGGGCACTCATTCTTCATTTTGCCAAGTGCATGGTCCTACGACAATCAATGAGCCCGATTTAGTGGCAGGTCAAGGTCTTGAAGTGTTTAATCATGTGGCGGCTTACAGTTGGCTGTTTGGATTGTGAGCGTTCAAGTCCAAAACGACTCTGGAGAAATGATGTCACTACCCTGCTTCCTTTGGTCATCTTTTGTGGAATCCAGACTGATTCACATCGAAAGAACATCCTGTACCAGTCCGAAATCTTCCAAGCCCAAGCCTACATTGTGATCAGGTACTGCGCATTGAGGACAAAAAATGAATTACTATCATTCTCACAACACAAGACCCTCAGCACCTGATCAAGCAGACTCAGCCTTTCCCATCCACCAGGGTGACGAAGGTTGCACGCATCCTGCCTTCCAGTTTGTCCACCTTGTTGTAGACCATGATCTGCGGAGTATCCCTGGCTGAGCTGAAGTCTCAAAGACGCCGGCTGAATGTCTTAACCAGGTCACGGCGTCCCCAGTCCACTGGCCAGCTGTGCGGCTTGAACTTCGGCAGCCGCTTCAGCGTCTTCAACACACTGGCGATCTGGCGGCGAAGACTCGCCCTTCGCCCGTCAACTGAGTGTTGTTTCCAAAGGGTCAAAAAGTGAGACTGAGACTTGTTGTGCCTTATATAGCCAAGTAACCAAGTAAAAACATTGTCATTTTCAGATTCCTTTCGGTTGTGATGCGGAGGCATGTGAGATTCCTCATTCGAAACTCTGTTTGTGCACGCTTTCCCAAATACGTGCTCTCACACTGGATGTACTGTATCTCCCTCAGGGTTTTGCAAGTGCGATTGTCGGAAGACATTTGGAGCAAGCCAAAGAAACAAAGATTGGGGAGCCATGGAGGATGAAGTGCCTAAGTGTGGGATGAACAGCATTTGTGAGCTTGCAGACTGGCTCATTGAGACATTTGCTTGCCTTTTGACGGTGGAAGGTTGGAATGCTGAAATATGCAAACGATTTACTATTGTATTAATTTGACCTCTGAAATCAATAACTGAGGCGCAATGTGCTAGAACAAAATGGTCAAGATGCGATCCATATAAGGCAGGTGAGCATGTTGGCTCTCATCACCCTGCAGGTCGGAGGTACAGGGCGGCAATAACCATGAGCTTGGAGCACCTCTACCCGTTCCTTGAGATTTTTAGGGAGTTGGCGAGATTGCTCGAGATACGGGAGTTGTGTTTGCATCTGGCAGAGACCAAAACCTCAACGTACACAACCGCACAAGGTCACAAGGGCATGCAGAAGCTAGCGTTCCATGCTTGCAAGTACTGACCCAAAGGGCCTAAAGGGCCCAAAGGGCCTGGTCGTGGTGGAGCCAACATGTTCAAGGCAAACCTGCTACCTGTGATATGGCAGGCCTGCTGAGCAGCAGTTGGAGAAGAGACGTCCACCACGTGCAGGATCATGGTCGTCTGGCGCACACATGAAAACAAATGGTCCCAGGGACCCAATCAAGCTGTGACAGGCCCGAACAAAGTCCTACCTGTAGTGCCTGGATCATCCTTAGCTTTAGCCTGGATCATCCATCCGATTGTCCTCTCAGTTGGTCACGCCTCAACCACCTCCTCCAAAGTGGCCCTGAAGCCTGCGACCAGCTGCTCTGGAAGCCTGTCATGCCAACAGATTAGCTGCCCTAATTGAGAACCTCTGCGGATGGGTTCTGAATTTCTGGGGTTTCCCATTTGGGGAGCCATCAATGTACTTGGCACATGTTGATCCTTTATCTGCAAACAAGCTGCCAGCTTTTTTTTGGCAGCTACAGAATGTCTGACCAAAACCGATACCTGGCCCTTGTCCGCTTGCGCCTCTGGATGAAACCCACCTGCCATGGAGGCGAGCTCTGAACGCACTGCGCGGCTTCACAGTGTTCCTCTGAAGCTCCAACCAAAATACACAGGTCTTGCACCCGGAATACACAGAATCCATGGCGGTCTCTGTGTTCTTCTTTTACAACCATCTTAGCCAATGAGGTGGCGAGTACAGCTTTTGGTGGCAACTCAGGCAGCATCGCTGTGTCTGCCAGCATCACGGTGCGGCCACCTGCAAGCAGTCCAAGCGAAGGACTCCAGATGCAGTGGATCAGTAAATATGATACATAGGAGCAACAGTTTGACTACTGCCTTCGAACAAGCCTCGAACCAGCTTTTAAATGCAAGCAAGCTCTTCAAGTCAGTTCCACGTGAATTCTGCCATGGCTGTAAGTCAGAATGTTCTAGTGTTCTAGTTCAACCAGCAACACTTCAGACGCGTTTCCCTTCCATACCCCCTCCACCAGTTTTGTGCTTCGGCCTGGCAGCGTGACCGAGCGTCGTGTGGGGTCCAAGGTCTCAAAGAGACGATCCTGAGCACAACGATCCCTGCGGTTCACCCGTTCATCGCGGGTCTCAGGAACGGAGGAACGTCGGATCGTCTGACCGTTGATTTTGCATCGACTCATTGTTGGTCTAAAATTAGATCTTGCTGACTCGCATTCCCCCACCCCAGGCTTCCAATGATATCTGCCAAGACCAAACAGTCTCTATTCCATGGCTAAGTCATGGTGAAATGGCCGTCGAACAAGGATGAGGATGGAAGGCTCTGAGCATACAAGCCCTGAGCTGTCCCCCCCAAAAGTACTCCTTGCATGCCCGAAAAGCTCGGGCACAGACCTTGGTCTTCACCTGCAAGGCAAGGGCTGAACATGGTTGGACGTGTTTCCATCAAATGGACTCCAAGTATTTTTTGTTGCCTTCCACGCAACTTGACAACCAGAAAGCAGAAGCCCGCAATAAACAGAGTACGATAATCGAATGCTCAGCCTCAGTACTTTGTGCCAAAGCATTCATCAAGGTGGACCTCAGCAGTCTCGTCAAACAAAGAAGCCCCTTGGGTTGATTCTTTAAGAATGGAAAGTAGATGAGTTTAGCCCTTGGTTTGAAGATGATCAACTGGTTTGAGACAATGTCAGTTCAAATAGCAATCATATCCTTTTCGCCTGTGTCTCAAAATGGTGTCACCCCTGAACCAGTGAAAGGACATCTACTTTCACTAGATTACTTGTCCAACCCTCCAGTCCGAGAGAGGCAGCGACTTTCCAGCATTGGTGTATCCCACCTGAGGAAGGCATGAGAAAGGGTGTACACCAGAGTCTCTAGAGAAAGCACGCCCTGAAAGGGTGTACACATGTGTACACTCTCTCAGATGCCCTATTGGCCACCCAAATGACTCCTTTGTAGAAAGTGAGGCCTCACTGAAATCAAGCTTCAATGCAAGCTGCAAGCATATGTAAGTCATTTGCAAATGATATCTTTCTAGACAGGCTTCCTCACTGGCTGAGTTGCGGGAACTCTTGGTAACAGCATTTTGCCTGGCATGTCATTGTTTCTGATCAATGTTCCATCCCAATGCCGGATTCAGGGAACTGGCTAATGAAATGATGGGCAATCCAAGCTCCACATGACCTCAGGCGACAAGTGTCGAGTTGGAGCACCCAGGTCGCAACGGGATCTCTTTGGTGGTTTCTGTGTCGGGTCCTGAACATTGCATCCTTCAATGCATAAAGGTGTATCCCCATCCTTGCCTTATTGGGAAGTGCAACACATCTCCTTGCTCATGATCATCATCAATATTCAATATCATCATTAACATATCCTTCGCATCATGTTCATTATCCACTCATCAAACTGCACCCTCACACCAACTCTCTCGGGCACCGGTCGTTCACGCTGTCTTGCCCGCACCTTCCGCACCTTTGCGTAATGAAGCCGATAGAATCGGATGATGAGATGATAACCTTGTCCAAAAAAATACCAAGGCGTGCAGATGAAGTGCTTGTTTTTGTTCTTGCCCCTGATCCATGAGTCAGGGTCAATTCTTCGTGCAAAAGGGTGCAACACCCAAGATCATCTAAGCACCGACAAAATGTGGTTTTTGGTCCAACAAGTTCGGAGACAACAGGCGTGCAACTTGAGAGTGCTTTGGTTTAGTACGCGACGTCGACATCCAGCTTGGAAGCGGCCAAGTTTTGACCGGGCCTCCTCCAGCTGTTTGGTGCAGGCTGCAATCCTCCGCTTCAACAAGGTCCTCACGGTGCGTTGCAAAAGCAACGTGCCAGACCCAATGGGGTGCGCAGCCCAGCTGGATGTCGGCAGAGATCAAAATTTGTGACCCAGCGACTCCCAAAATGCCTTACAGGTCTTTGGGCCGTTACATGGGCCTTTTTGTTACATCAAAGCTCTCGCCCTTCTTATTTGGAGGTTTGAAGAGAAGTTGCCCTCCACAGAGTGATGAAGTCATAAAAAGAAAGGAATTTGCTGTTCCTTCTGGATTTTGTTGTCAATGTTTCACCATGATGGCAGAATCGGCCACCCATGCTCCTGTCCATCTGCAACTGGGTCTCTCCTTTTCCTGCACGCACTGGCACGAGAGTTGCTTCCACAAGACTGTACAGCTGCTGGTGATAACAAATCACATCACCTCCTTGATGTGTCCTGCACCTCATGAGAATTGTCTTTTCTCATAATTAAGAGTATATAGAACCAGTTGAAAGGCCAGTGCCAGAATACCTCTTCGAGGGAATCTGTAACTGCACTATGCTGGCATGAACCTTCAACCATGCCATCAGCTTCACTGCAGCAAATTTGGGCTTCCCCTTCCGAACTCTTGCAAAGAAAAAAGACATGGCAATGGCATGCTTCAGATTTAGGTATTCGACTTGTTCGTCGAATCTGGAGTTTCTTGTACGAGGGCCAATTCGCAAGTTCCAGCTTGCATCGCTTCCACACAGGCTTGCCCGCCTTTTAGATAGGCGCCGCCGCCCGAGGCAGACTGAGCGAGAAGTCATCGGCAGGGACTACGCATCTGTTGTTAGAAGCAGGGATGCCACAGGTAGGATGTTCCAGCAACAACTCCGAATGCTTTTCTATCCTCATCACTCCAGTGTCTCCGCCCTTCATCCAAGAATCACTTCGCCTCCAGCTGTCCATCTTCCCATGTGCCCGACAAGTGTCCGGACCCCTCCAGCGCCAACACTACCACCTTGGGCTTCCATGCCAGCGCCCTGGCAGCAAAGTTTTTTTGGAGCCCTTTCTGACCAAAGTTAATCTTGTTGGTGGACTGCACAAGATAAGTCAATGTGGGAAGATCGAAGGGAAACATAATAACTAGATCAAGGCCTTGTGATTGATGTTGTCTTATTTTGATGACCCACCACTAAAGCCTGAGTTCTTTGAAGCCTGAGTTCTTTGGTCAGAAGTAAGACTCGCTTTGCTCACTGATTTGCAAGCCCTTTCTTGTCGGTTCTTTCCTTAGAGCAGGAAGCTTACATGGAGAAAAATGACCGATTGCAAAACCAACAAAAGTACCATTGCAGAATCTGGCTAGATGACTAGAACTACAACGAAACAATGGCTTCTCCTTGTGCCACATCTGAGACAAAATGGTCCCCTCATCGCGATTGGCCCATTCTCTCCCACCGTGGTCAGGTAGTACCGGAGGCGCGGCAACATGTAGCGCTGGCTCGCAAGCCTGAGGGCTCACAATCCGCTCACAGGTCCGAGAAGGCTCAACTGCTTTTGGAGCCGAGGAGCCATGAGTTGAGGGAGGCAGCTGCTCAACAGGGAGTTGTGCCCTGAGCACACCCAACTAATCGTGGAGAGCCAAGCTTCCGGCAATGGGGCTTGGGAGTGAAAACCACTCGAAGGGGCTTGGTCGGGCATTCCCTTCCGCTGATCAAAGCCCAGACAGTTGCCGGGACAGTCTCTCTAAGAAAAACGCACTGTGCGGATGTCATAGGTTCTGGAGGATTGAGAAGTGCGAATTGCCCCGCCACTGTCTTGTCAGATCCTCTTTCACCAGCAAGCAGCTTAACTTGAAGTTTGGCTTCCTTTGTCCTCGCTCTTTGTGCAAATATCCTGCGAATGGAACAACAGGCCAGACTGCGGTGGGGTAACGAGCAGTCGAAAGTCTGAGAAGGTGGGCAAAGGCTGAAAGCATGCGTCTTGTCTGTGCAGGTCAAGCATAGCCATGTCTATCTGAAGGGTTTGGTGTAGTTTAGTGTTGGTACCAAACACAGGGCGTTTGCTGTGAGGTTTTGACGCAAATCTTCGTCAGCTGATCTTTCTTCGTCCTGAGAATCAAAGACGTCCGGTCGAGGATGACGCCTGGCAAGTCAGAAATGACCTGGAGGAAGGAACTCATATACACCCAGTCTACTGCAACAGAAGAAAAGAACCTAGTAACCGTCCCAGTCAGGCAGTGCAGGATTCTGTCTACTAGTGTCACCCAAAAATACAAATCATCTGCCTTGCAAACATTGCAGATCTCACATTGTGCAGTAGCTCTGGGACAAATATGTACATACCAGTAGACTGCTCAGCCAAAGGCTGTAGGTCTGTCTTCCTTTTTTTTCAGGAATGCTTCGTCCAACCAAAGACATCAATGCCGAATCGCTCGGTACTGCACTGAACCATCAACTGCGCCAGGTCGACATTCGCCGTTGGGCCTTGTTCGGAATCCGCTTGGCTCCATGACAGAGTAACAAGAAGCTACTAGGGGCTCCTGGCATCGCTACTAGGAGCAAGGACGCTACTAGGGGCTCCTGGCCGTACTACTAGGAGCAAGAAGCTAGTGGTTCATGCTCCATAGTCTCTGATCATGCAAGGTCAGGCCACCGATCAGGAACCTTTAGAATCATATTGTTTCTAATTGCTTTCTTGTTAGTACTAGTAAGGCACTTGTTACTACTAGTAAGGCACCTTGCTACTAGTAGCTTTCTTGTTCCTAGTAGCGATGCACCTTGTTGTTGAAGTCTCACATCACCTTGATTCCAAAGGTCAACAATTCATGAAAATAGGTACCCTACCATCCAGTTTGGTATACCACATTATATATCATTGTATCACCACCCAGTTATGGCACCACCCAGCTAGTCAAGCTCATTCTCTACGCCTCCCGGTGAGGTGGGCAATGCTCTCTTTTGCCCGTGGTGTGTCAGGCTGTGCCAGTGAATTAGGGCCCCTGCGCAATTCGACCCTTGAGCGTCATCAGCATCCGGTAAGACATGTCCTCTGCCAGGTAGAACATAGATTTATCTGATTCAACCAGGTGCTTGTGAGTCAGAGTCGCAAGGTGGATGTTTATTCTCCAACATTCAGGTACCTACTGCAAGATTGCAGTCCAATCAGGTCTTTCAGGAATTGACAGCAGCGGGTACTACCCTCGTGGGAGCCGTCCTCAACACTTCCAGCCATGATGTCTGACGGATTCTCTAAATTCAACATAAAATCTGTAAGATACTTTGTAAACCTGAGATGCCTTGATTCAACCCCTAAGGCCCTAAGGTGGTATGAGATACCAAAACACCAAAGTCACGGGTCTTCAGCCAAGGTCTCCTGGTCGAAGACCACCACCCCGATTTCAGGGTCGTACTTCACCTCTGGCTTGATGGCCGTGTGGGCCGTGTGGGACTGCCGTAGGGAGGTCTCCGCGGTGTTGATCCCCAGGTCTCTCGTTTTGAACGGTTCGTTTTGGACATAAGGAAAATGATGAAAGAAGAAAGAACGCGTATATACTTGCCTCGAACCTAACAGCAATGGCCTCCAGCCTAACAGCGATGGCCTCCAAACTAATAGCAATTTTTACACAGATCTTGGGCCTCGGGAATCACATGATTTCTGCGAAGCTTCGTCGAGCGACATGGTCCCCTCTTGCACTTTTCCAACCTTATCAGCTGCAATGTGTACAATTTATATATATATATACAGTAACACAACTCCAAACAGCCAAGACTCCTTTTTGGGGCTATCCACTCATCCATCCCATCGTAATCCATCCACCACTCCATCCGTCTGACCCCGAAAGACTGTTCTTTTGGGGCGCCTGTTGCCTCAACTCCTCTGCCTTTCCGCTGCCGATGGGCAAACGCCCCTGGGTCGGCCTCCACCTGAGCAACAAACAGACTCAGTGTTCGGGCACAGCGGCACAACAGGTGGTCAAGTGCCCACAAACCCGAGAAACTAAATGGTCTTTGGCGTTCACGCTACCATTCGCCAGGACAACGCAGCAAGTCGCTTCTGAGCACTTCACTGTTGCAGCACGCACTCCTTCACCTGGCAAAGCTCGAAAATCTGATCGACTTCAGAATCTACTCTGTACCAACCTGGGAATTTGGATGGAATTGGTGCCTGTTCCATTCCTCCATTATATCTCAAAGTTTCACGTCCACGTTTTTTATGGCCCAGCGGAGTGCTGCTGGAACTGCACTCCCAACAAACCAAAGTGTTTCTTGGTTCGCTGAGAAACACGGTCTTTGATCAGCCAGGACTTGGTTCCTTTCATGACATGTTTGAAGTCTATGCATCTCCTTCAAAACCATCGTTCCAGCACACAATAGATTGCATTTCCAAAAAGACTCGAGCAATAAACGGATCGAAATCTACACATCTTCCACTCCTCTGGGGCATATTTCTGGAAGCTCTTTTGAGCCATGCATACAAGAACACGGCCCGACCTCAAGGCCCAAGGTCTTACAAAGGCCCTCAAGCTCCTCCATCGACTCCTGTGGCACACCCCTTTAGAGCTGTGAGAGTCTTTTTTGTCAAACCTGCCGACCCATACAAGCTAGCAGCTCCCAAACAAGATGTTGAAAAAAAATTGAACAAAAAGGACCAGGTATCACTTCTTGGTGTTCAAGGAGAACGGTTCTTGTTCTCATCCCATGATGCCATGCCATGCCATACCATGAGGCCGACTGGGTGCCTCGGGTGAGAAGCTCGGCCCGTCTGGGCTCGCAACTCGGTTCTTGCGACCAGGATCCCAGCCTTGACGGGAAGAGCACGGCGCACGGCTTGAGAGGTGACTCACCCCAGTCATGCACTCGCCAGTCCACTTCTAGTAGCGAACATTGCTCCTAGTAAGGCCAGGAGCCCCTAGTAGCGTCCTCTTGTTCCGACCCTCTTCGGGACCAGCGATTGTGATTCAATCGTTAAAGCAATGTCGTTCCTGGAACTCGAGATGACTACAGTGCATTCGGATGCCCAAGCTGCAGCATATCGACTTGGATCCCCCACCGACAATGATGGCCTGGCCATGTGCCAACGATGATGGCACTACAGCTCTTCAGATGGCTCTACATATGGCCAGCCGTTCTTGAAATGGCTCATCTTCAGCCATTCTTGAACACCGACTTCCAGCTCTTCAAATGGTCTACAGCTTCAAGAAAGCCTTGATGGTTGTCATCCACGAGTTGTTTGACCCACAGACGATGGAGCCTAGGCCCTCCTGTCTGATGTTTGGGTGGACAATCTAGCCGTTGGCACAAACCAGGCTCACCAAGTTGAATCATCACACTGGTCTGACTCAAGTGAACTCCACCCAGTATTCGGGATGGTTGCCTTAAGAGATATGGTACCCAAACCCTCCAACACGGGAATGTGGTCATCCCGTTCTGCTTTCAAGATATCAACATCGGTTGCACGAGGATAGTTGAGACTCCAGACCTTGGAGGACAGAACCCTCCACAGCTTCCACTTCATCTACCCATTTCAGCTTTGCCATGCTTCCGGGTGTGGTGGCCACGGACGTGTTGCCACGGTCTGTGCGTTTGGTGCACGATGTCCGCGGACCGAGTCCGGCCTTTCCCGTGAGCTCTCGGCCCAGGGCATCGAACTCCTGAGAAGCTGATACGCTTATGGAGGCTGGAAGGAGAGTGGAACAAATGCCGCAACGAAATCTGAAATCTACTGCCCAAAAATGAAGGAAACACCAAACACTGCGTTTCAGGTGCTTTGCCTTGTGGTTAGGTGGGCAATGGAGCTTTCAACTGTGTTCTTTGCTTTTTGTTGCTCGAGATGCCTTGGGTTTCAGTCAACACTTTTCATAGACAGCTGATAGCAACGCAAATGACATCGAGGCAGCTTTCACCTGCAGAGTGCATCAAGGCACATAACAGTGGTGCAGAATAAATGAAGGCAAATGATATGCAGGCAAGTGTCCTTTGACGATTCAGACAACATAGAAAATACATGAAAATACGCACTCTGCTATTTGTCCCTTGTAACTTCCTCTGCTACAGAAATATTCTGCTTGGACAGGTATCCTCCTTGACCAACAAGTGTCATCATGCATAAACCTCTGGCTTTCCAATGTTGATTCGTTTCCCAAAATTCCTTGCTTGAGAAGTGTTTTCCTTGAACAAATACATCCTCGGCCTACTCCTGTGTGAATGCCTTATCCTCCGTACCAGACAGTGTTGTCATTTGTAAGGGCATCATCCTTAGTGTTGTTTTGCAGTGCTATTTCGCCCTATCTTTCCTTTTGAACATGTTCCACTTTGCACAAGGTCTCTGCTTTATGGAACCTAATAATCCTAACATATAGAAGTGCACACCCTGTGCAAAAGACACATTCGTTTACAAAGGTCCTGTGTATGTAAGTATTCTGCTTATACAAGCTCATCCTCCTTGGAAGGTTCTCATCACCTTAATGTGTACTCACTTCCTAAGGTATCCGATGTCCTTTTCCTTATCAAGTATGATGCTTTGTGCACTTTGCGGCCTCAAATCTAGGCAACCTTGCATTCTTGATGAAAAACATTTGCAAGTCGCTACAGCCTTCAAGAAAATGCACTGGTTTTTCTTTGTAGGGTTTGTCACCCTGACAAAATCAAATCAGTTCCAAAGGCCTCGTCTAGAATAATTGGCACTTGTGCAACCCGTATCCTTCTTTTCAAACCTGCTTCTCTTTAGGCACAATGGTAATCCTTGGAAAACAACCTCATTCTTCATGGAACTTTCTCCTGTCATGCAACACTTCCTGCTAGCAAAAGAGGCCAAACATCCGTCAGCAAAAGAGCTGTCCTCCAATGACGTGGTTTCAGACCCTTCATCAAAGTCTTGTCCCTTCCCTAGTCTGTTCCCTGCATCAAAATCGCGGTTTCAGACCAATTCAAATCTCACTTGTGTTTTCCAGGGCTTTTTTTCCATTTGCTTTCTCTCAAGCACACCCGCTCTCAAAAAGAATGGGTGTGTGTTGTAACGGAAGTTATGACCAGTGCCAGACCATACTCAATATATTTGCTGGACTGTTTCCGTGTACCTCCACTGTGCTCCCTCAACCCAGGGTCTCAAGTCAGGCGTACCTGTATCTACAAACTATAGACTATTTGAGCACAAGAAGGTCTTACCATGTATTGTACTTCATGGCCCCGAAAATGCTATTCAGATCTGTCCCCTCTGCGAGTACCAACCATGGTGAATCATGACACATGTCATTGTTGTCTGTACTTTTTCTGAATTAGATCACACACTCATCATATAATGCATGCATCTACTGTTCAGCACTGGGGACTTCCACATACCCGCACCTATACATCTGAGAAAAAACCAGCACCGGCAGCTGCTTGGAGCCTTCTCCCATTTGAAGCCAATTTCACGTCTGCGCTCAAACCAATTGATCAGATTTGATCAGGTGCATACACTGCTCCTCCAGGTATTCCTGCTGTTGACCCTCCTCCGCGAGCCGCGCCACTCGCGGCCTAGGCGGCGTCCGTACGTGAAGATGGAGACAATCACAGGGTGTCTTTTAGTCTGTCATCACCCTGGAAAGTAGACGGGTTGGTCTCAAAAAAGGGAGGTGTTCGTCCGGAGTCAAGACACTGACACTCTATGACACATGCAAATAGTAAGAGACCTTACAAAGTTCAAAAACATCTTGAATCCTCTTGTCCAAATTCTGTGAGTTCCAAGCTCAACAACGATACCATAGCCCCTCTTCGAAGCTCTCCGACGATTTAACCATGCGCCAGTGATCGGAATTCATCACACAACATAGGCCTGTGAGACAGCTTTCACTTTGTAAAGAAGCTGGTGACCAATCATCCCACTCTCTCACAAGAACAATCAATTCTTGCAGGGTAGAGAAACTGCCAAAGAAAAAGAAAAAGGACCTAGTGATCCATAGCGCAACTATTGAGTGATTAGAAGATCCTTCACAATGCTCCTGCTGGTGCACAAGCATGCGATCTTGTATTCACAAAACCAACTTTACGTCTCTGCTTCCTCTCCCTCCAACTGTACGGTCTCTGCCCCCCTGCTCGCTCCGCCGGAGGCCCGCCCACAGACCACACAGTAGGCTTGCAACGCCTGCACACATCGAATCAAGGTGCTAGGCACGGCCGGTGTGTTCAGTTTGTTGGTGCTGCTTTTGTCTCTCCTGGAGTTGCTGCTGTTGCTGCATTGTTGTTTCTATATACAGTAATGGAAACATGACACAGTGTGGGATAGTCATGGCAAATATAATGTGGGAAGAACATGGAAAACAATGAAACTTAGAAATATGTGGCACTGTGTCTATACCTCCCAACCCTGGAATGGTGCTTCTGGGAGACATCGGTGCCAGATCAATCTATCACGAAAATCCCTGGATGTCATCTAGCTAGGTCCATGCTCAGCTTGGTACTCCTCTTTCATTTCTGGTTCAAAATCCTCGAGAACCACGCCTACGTTGGACCTTGAGATCCATGCATTGGAGGACGTCCAAGGGAGGCTTCGAGACTGAAGAGGGACCTGCTGCAGCCAAGGGTAGATGGTCACGCTGGTTTCTAGATGCCACATAAGCCCAAGAAACCTCCACATCATTCCCCCGATCCAACCTAATACCGATGGACTCCAACCTAATACCGATGGACTCCAACCTAATACCGATGGACTCCAACCTAAGAGCGATGGCCTCCAACCTATTAGCGATGGCCTCCAACCTAAGAGCGATGGCATCCAACCTAGAAGCGATGGCCTCCAATCTAATTACTAGCGATGGCCCCCACCCTATTAGCATACAGAATGAGTCCAGGAATCATGCACATCATCCTAACAGCGATGGACTCCAACCTAAGGGCGATGGCCTCCAACCTACTAGCGATGGCCTCCAACCCAAGAGCGATGGCCTCCAACCTAAGAGCGATGGCCCCCAACCTAAGAGCGATGGCCTCCAACCTACTAGCGATGGCCTCCACCCTGCTAGCGATGGCCTCCAACCTAATACAGAATAAGTTCAAGATTCATCCGCATCATTCCCCCGATCCAACCTAATAGCGCTGGCCTCCAACCTAGAAGTGATGGCCTCCAACCTATGAGCGATGCCCTCCAACCTATTAGCGATGGCCTCCAACCTAAGAGCGATGTACTAGCGATGGCCTCCAACCTACTAGCGATGGCCCCCACCCTATTAGCGATGGCCTCCAACCTAATACAGAATAAGTTCAAGATTCATCCGCATCATTCCCCCAATCCAACCTAATAGCGCTGGCCTCCAACCTAGAAGTGATGGCCTCCAACCTATGAGCGATGCCCTCCAACCTATTAGCGATGGCCTCCAACCTAAGAGCGATGGCCTCCAACCTACTAGCGATGACCTCCAACCTACTAGCGATGGCCCCCACCCTATTAGCGATGGCCTCCAACCTAATACAGAATAAGTTCAAGATTCATCCACATCATTCCCCCAATCAAATTCCAATTATTGATGTTACTGTTGGTCATGTTTTGTCAAGGCCGAGGCAAGATGGTGTACATCCATGATAATGTGTGATCACGTTTTGATCGGAACTGATCAAACGGCGAGGTCTTTACTTTTACCCTCAAGGCTCATATCACTCATATATCTTATAGATGTCTGCATAGAATCATTGGAAGTGTTGGTCCTTGGCTTTTTCGATAGGCACTATATTATATACAGTACACTGTACCCCTTTTTTTGGCATACCAAGAGTCCTTGTATGCTGCACTCATCACTCACACCTTTGGGGCCCCAGCGGGCGGACCCCGCGGGTCACGACCACGTGCAGTCACCTCGGCGGCACCGGTGCGCTCCAACGACACCAAACATGAGGGAATTGGGGTGACTTGCCTGCTCTTGACCACCGTGAAAATACCACCAACTGGATGGGCAAATAAATAGATGTTTTGTCAATTTTCCTTGACAAGCGGTCAAAATGTCCTGCACTCCGTCTCCAACAAAGCTTGTTCAAAAGTATGGGTCCCAAACTTGTACCAAGGCCGGTGCCAGCTCCACATGACTGGGCCAAAGGCATGCCACATTGGCCATGGCGGGTCAACAAGAATGGTCGGTGTTGTGGTCGTGATAAATGATAAATGTGGAATCGCGGATGTCGGATGGTCCTTTGAGGAAAGACCATCGAGGCAACGTCTTCCATGTTAAAGATGTTTCTTTCGTGTCTTCTGCTCTCTATCAAGACACCAGCGTCTTGTTGATTTCAGTATGTTGTTTGAAAAGCCCGAATCTAGCATTTGCTGTACTGCGGCTGATATGATGTTCTCTCTTGCTGTCATTTTTTGCAGTTCTGCACATGTGAAGGTGATTGTGGGTACAGTATATACTGTTTGGGGTATAACTACCTCGCAGGTGATGCACTCGATTTCCCGAAAACCCGCTTTGAGAATCAGGAAGACTAAGACGTTTGCAACCTGCACTTCACCCCTTCCAGCCCCATCGAATGGACCACTGCATGTAGCCATACAGACAACCCAAGCCCATGTCGCCGGCGTAGGGTTTCTTGTACCCATGGGTTGGGCAGGGATAGCTCGAAGTATAATTTGGATTCTGTGGCAGTCTCCTGCCGCCTTCTGAATTCCTTGAATTAGCAAGTCTCTTCATGTCTCTTCATTGGCACCGGCACTGGCGCAGTCTGTACAGTTATCGGCCATGCCCAGTGAAAACAAACAATCAGCATGAGAAAACGCGGTCATCATTTGGCTCAGAAAGAATGCCGTCATCAATACAAGTTTCACAGTTCCATTGTCATGAGCTTGGAGCCAACAAAAATGCTTCTGGCCAATGACTGATTCTGGAACTCACTCCAATCCAGCCTGAACGGTTTCATTTTGGCCAAGACTGCTTCTACACTAGCACCACTCTGCACGGAAAGCCTTTGGTGGGTGCACATGTGACAAAGCCCTGTTTCTGTGCGCAACAGAGTGTATGGCATGTGGACGGAATGCATTTTTCCTACTGCTCCAACTCTTTCATATCACTCCAAACAAAAGAACCACGTTCTGTGCAGTTTATCTTTAGGAAAATGATGCCCACGCAAGGTGGTACATGCCAAGTTGAAATCAAGTTGATACTCTCGGTACTTTGTTGTCTTGGTACAAACAAAAAGTCATACTGACCAAGCGCAAAAACCTTCGAGGCTCCTGAGAGCTCTTTCCCCTGAACACACAATTCTGACATAAGCCTCAATTGGCACTCAGGCTGCGGTGCAAGGTGGCCCGGTAATGGTTGATGGCCTCACACACCCACGACCGCAACTTAACTAGGGATGCATACAACCCATCAAAAGCAGAGCACAGTACATGTGGTGACAAAACTTCCAGCAGGTTGACGACTCTGTCTTCATGTCGGCCACTGAGCTGGAGCAAGGCTTGTGGTGAGTAGACCATCGAAGTGAGCACACACAACCCAGACAATTTACATGGTTTGCACAGGCACCAGTCACATGGATTGCTTGTGCAAGCGTGTGGGAGTGCAAACTATTCACAAATCCCAAGTAGCCATCCAAAGCCTCGGTTTTGCAGTCCTTCTAGGTTGACAAAATCCCAACATCCCGGTATCACACTGAAGGTCTGCCAGCTTCACATGTTGCGCAGCGGCCTCCATTTCCTAAAAAACCTGTGAAACTTGCAGTTTCTGTGGATCCAGATTGATTGAGTGGAAGGAAGTAGGGGATTCTGCAAATACCACGACAATGGGGACATACAGTAGCACAGCCTGCGTCACCCGTTCAAATCAACAACACCCTGGACTCCTGAGAATTCTCCAAAAAGACACATATTCATATTACTATATAAAGTTAAGTAAAGTACTGCAGTAGATGATTGTCTGACTTTGGAGATTGTGTCCTGCTTTCATTGATGATACAATTCCCGACCCACATTTGCAGGCCTGCCAGACCTCATCATCAGCTGCCTCCCGCAGAGTCGCCTTGCTCGCGGGCTTCGCATGATTATATATTGGGTCTGCAACCAACAAAGCTCTCCAAGTCATCTTTACTCTCCAAGCAAATGGGTTCTCTAATTAATTTACATTTCTTCATCAGCCCGAGTTCAAAAAAGCTACTGCATGCTAGTTTTTAGTGGGTTTGGGATGATTTGGGTGTCCTGCGTCTTTCTCAAACAAACACCCCATCGTTAGGTGCCAAAATCTCAGCCTACCTCTCAAGCTTCGCATGATAATAGTGGGACAGGTTCGTCAATATCATCCTGGTGAAGGTCCATCCAAGACGACACTCATTTGCTTCACCACACCCCGCCTCTTTCTGCAGCTCCTGTCGCACTTCTGCCACCCGCTGCAGGGTTAAAGCCTCACAAAAATGAAAACTCCTTCAGGTCAACCACACTGCAATTTGGAAATCTCCTCTGGAAACTCAGCTAGTAGGAGCAAGGACGCTACTAGGGGCTCCTGGCCTTACTACTAGGAGCAAGAACATTTCACACTCCCCCCCTGGACGATCGCACTCACCATTTCCACCCACCCAAGCAAGATTTACACTGCCAAGCGACACGTATCTGAGCGGTTTCTGCATTCTCATGAGGAGATGCGAGCCTCAATAACTGACAGTCGAGGAGTACCCCTGCACACTCAACTTGACTAGAATCAAACAATGTTCGAAGTGGAGACGTTCATTGTTCATGAAGAGATATGTTCCACAAAAAACTCTTTAGGGGAACAACTCTTAGTCTTAATATGTGCAACTCTTAGTCTTAATATGGCCAATGAGTCCAATGGATGCCTGGACAATGGGTCACACAATCACTGGATGCAAAGATTGTTTCCATTTGAGAGCGTGGCTGGTCGATCAGCTCTTGCAATGCCTTGCAGGGGTCATTTGGGCACTACCCAGGTGTGTTTGGGGTGCATGCAAGCGTACTAGTATCAGAGGATTTGCTGGAGGCCTTCCCTTTACACAACACCTCGGCCGAAACTCCCGGCCTCTCCGCGCCGCTCCAACCGAGCCAATTCCTGGAAGAACCGGAAGCATCACAGAAAAAGGCTTCAAGTGCTTCGACCCTCATAGTTTTGAGTCTGGTTGCCGCGAGATCCATCGCAGTTGACACGGAAACCAAGTGCCTTCTGCATTTCTGCGTCCACCCCAAAGCCCACCTGGCAAGGCAACCAAAAGTACTAGTAGCTTCTAGCTACTATTAGCGATGCACTTGTTAATAGCTTTTCTTTGTGAGGTGTTTAGTTCACAGTCCCGCACGGCAAACAAACATGTATGCAACATTCTGGCCTTCGGGCACGCTTCATCGTAAATTGACAAAAACTTTTGGACTATGGCAATTCCTCTTCCAAATCTATCCATTGGTTGCGGATGTTTGTATCCGACAGTTCTATCGCCTTCCCATGTCCTGCCATACCCTATGACCATTCAATATGCTGAAACATAGTAGCCACATGTAACCCTTCGCGTGATCAAAACTGTGTCCCAAACGTCCACACGCACCTCCTCAATCCGCTGCAAAAGGGCATCCTCCTATGTTCCGAGCACGGTCAAAGAGCTTTTACCTTTATTTGTGCATAGTTCTGATATACGCTTGTGCCTGCGTAAACTTCCCAGATTTGCAACCCCATCCTGAGTTTCAGCTCGCTTCTGCTCATCTTTGAAGTCGTCGATGAGATGTTTCATCCTCGGCGCAAGGCAGAGGTATATCGTGAAAACAGACCATGCCAAAATTCTCGGAGGCTTACTCAAGACGTGCTTACAATAAAAGTGTTCCAACACCACATGTTCAGCCTTGTCTTGCCTCATCCGTTCCCCGATCTCTTTCTCTCTCTCTCTCTCTCCTGCAGTGAGAAGAGCACGTGTCCAACAAACTCCAATATATAATTACTTCAATCGAAGCACCAAGAAATTGATCCACAATAAATTATTGTATATGAGTCTTCGTTGTAGATGCACCATCCTCAATGATCAGCCAATGTTGCAAGAGACTCTTTTGTGGCACAAACGTTCATGTTCATGGTAAATTTTGTTGCTAGGTCATCTTACAAGTTCTTCTGCGTGGAGAGGCAAGACAAATGCCACAAAGACCACACAAGCAGCAATGAAACAAGCCCATAGCTGGACAATTCCTCTGAACTTGTGCCATCCATGTTGCCAGCAATCACCTGCATGACCTTGACGAAAGGCCAATTTATCAGTCGATGTTGCTGTGGCTGGTCTTACATTGCCTTCTTGCTAAAGCCGCTAAAGACTCATCATTCAGCTGCAGTGAATGACGAGCTGGGCGACTTCGATGTTCTTCGATGTTCTGCGAGCCGTGGGGAGGCCTGTGGGTCGGTGGCGCCGGTTGGAACGATCGACGAATCGAGGGCGCCTTTGTGGGCGAAGAAACATGGACAACCGGGGGCTGCTGATGGGTCGGAGGGAGGGAGAGCTGGAGATGCCAAAAGATTTCAAGCGAGTGGAGTGTCCACGACCCATCGCCAGCACGAATGCATTGCCAATGCGTCCCTGAATTTTCTCTGCTCTCTGAACGGAAAAGAACTGAGGATCTTTTTTATGGGTTCGGAGTGCATTTGCATATGTTACCAGCACTGCGCCCCTTGTAGCTTGGGCCTCTGCAGCCATCACGCACTCAAGTCCAGTTCCAGAGGCGGGCCCCCACACTTGACGGAGGGTCAAGCGGACTTGCAACCTATTCTCCGTTCACGGAGGGGTATGCGCCCTGCAAATTATGTTCCATGCAAGCGCGCCCGCATGCACGACAGCAGGTACCGGACAAAAGGATCCCGATGACCAGTGCACAGGCAGGGCTTAGCGAGGCTGGTGGCGAAAGACTGTCCAAGGCATACGAGACACATGCAAGTTGAGTTGGCAAGGGCGGCACAAAAATATCAAAAAGTCAAATTGGTAAGGAAAAGACTCAAAAAATGGCAAGGGTGAATAAGCGAATTTCCGCACTCTAGAGCACTTTCACATATGAGAGCACACATGAGAGCACGTGTATGAGTGAGCACACATCAAAGAGCATGCAGCCAGCATACCTGTAAGAACACACATATGAGAGCACACACACATGTGA